CACTGACGCCCCAGGGTGGCAGTTTTACCACCCCTCCTCTCGTCGTGTTCTGTCCTCCCAGGACGTCACGTTCGACGAGTCAGTCCCCTTCTACCGTCTCTTCCCCTACCGCACTCCTTCCCTCCCCCCTCCCCCGGACTTCCTTGTGCCGGTTCCCCCCCCGGTAGACCCCCTCCCCCCTCAGGTTCCTGCCCCCTCAGGTGTGTCCCAGGTAGACGCCGTTGACCCGGTCGAGGTTACTGGTGACTCTGGTGCTGCTGCGGGTGCTGAGCCTTGGGGTGCTGACTCTGGGGGTGCTGTGCGCGGGGGTGCTAAGCCTGGGGGTGCTACTACTGGGGGTGCTGGGCCTGAGGGTGCTACTGCGGAGGGTGCGGAGCCTGGGGGTGCTGAGCCGGGGGGTGCTGTGCCTGGAGGTGCTGGGTCTGGGGGTGCTGGGTCGGGAGCTGCTGAGCCTGGGGGTGCTGAGCTGGGAGCTGCTGAGCCTGGGGGTGCTGCGTCTGGAGTTGCTGAGCCTGGGGTTTCTCCTGCTGCTGCGTCTCGCCGGGAGCCCCTCTCTCCACAGGAGCTGCGCGAGTGGTTCGCTCGCCGCTGGAGGCGTGCTGCTGAGTCTGGAGGTGCTGCTGGAGCTGGAGCTGGAGCTTCTTCGACCGTCGAGGGTGCGGGTGCTGCCGGTCCCGGAGCTGCTGGACCTGCGGGTCCTCCTGGAGCTGGAGCTGCTGAGGGCGGTGGTGCTGAGCCTACTGCTGTTGGTCCTGCCGCTGGAGGTGTGGGTGGCGCTGGTGCTGTCGCTGAGGGTGCTGGTGCTGTCCCTGCTGAGTCTGGAGCTGCCGCGCGGCCTCGGCCGTACTTCGTTCCGCTCCTGCAGCAGGTTCTTGGTCTTTCTCCTCCAGTAGAGGGTCCACCGCCTGTCCAGTCGCAGTCCCTGCTGGAGCCTTCCTCTCCACTGCCTGCTCCCTCTCCTTACACTGGTCCTACTGGAGGTCTTGCTGAGCGTCGTGAGCCTGCGTCTCGTCCCGCGTCGCCTGTTCGTGCTGCTCGCGCTAGTGGTCGCAGTTCGCGTCAGCGTCCTCCTCCTGTCCCTGGCACGCACCGGATGTCTTTGTGTCCGTCCACTGCTCCTCTGCGTGCCCCTTTGCCTTCTCCTCCTGAGTCCTCTCTTCCTGCGCTTGCCGACCCTGAGTCGGACTCTCTTCGTGCTGCCAGTCCTACTGTCACGCGTCTGCTTGCTACTGTCGTCACTGACCCCTCTTTTGAGTCCACTGCTGCGTCTGCTCTAGTCGCTGAGCTCGTCGACTTTGCTGCTCGCTGTCGTCTCGACTACGCTGCTAGTCTTATTGCTGAGTCTGCGTCTGTCTGTCCTCCGTCCGTTGGGGGTGAGTGTGCTCTTGGCACGGACGTCCTAGAGGACAGGCAGGAGGAGTTACAGTGTCTAGCGGCTGCTTCACCTCATCTCGCGTCTGTACTGCTTGCCCCTGAGGGAGACCCGGATGCACTAGACATCCCGACTCCGCGTTCTTACGCGGAGGCCGTAGAGGGTCCCTACTCCTCTCAGTGGCAGGCAGCTATGGATGCAGAGATGGCTTCCTGGAAGTCCACAGGCACCTACGTTGACGAGGTTCCCCCTCCTGGGGCGAACATCGTCAGTGGCATGTGGATCTTCAGGGTGAAGCGGCCGCCGGGCTCTCCACCTGTCTTCAAGGCGCGGTACGTCGCTCGTGGCTTCAGTCAGCGGCAGGGAGTTGACTACTTTCAGACCTTCTCTCCCACCCCGAAGATGACTACTCTTCGGGTGCTGCTGCACATAGCCGCTCAGTGCGACTACGAGCTTCACTCTCTCGACTTCAGCACTGCGTTCTTGCAGGGTAGCCTGCACGAGGAGATCTGGCTTCGCCGTCCACCTGGCTTCACTGGGACTTTCCCTCCTGGCACCCAGTGGAGCCTCCGACGGCCAGTCTACGGTCTCCGCCAGGCACCGCGTGAGTGGCACGACACACTGAGGACTACGCTTGCGGCTCTTGGGTTTGCTCCTTCTACCGCTGACCCGTCGCTGTTTCTTCGCACCGACACTTCCCTGCCGCCGTTCTACATCCTCGTGTACGCCGACGACTTGGTCTTTGCCACAGCGGACACTGCTGGACTCGCCTACGTGAAGTCCGAGCTGCTGAAGAGACACACGTGCACAGACCTGGGTGAACTGCGCAGCTACCTTGGCTTGCAGATCACTCGGGACAGAGCACGCCGCACCATTACCTTGACTCAGTCACACATGGTGCAGCAGGTCCTTCAGCGCTTCGGCTTCACGTACTCCTCGCCTCAGGCCACTCCTCTGCCTACTCGCCACTCACTCTCAGCTCTGCCTTCGGATGAGTCCGTAGAGTCGAGTGGTCCGTATGCAGAGCTTGTTGGCTGCCTCATGTACCTGATGACCTGCACACGACCTGACCTTGCATACCCTCTGAGCATTCTTGCACGCTATGTTGCTCCTGGGAGACACAGACCAGAGCACATGGCTGCAGCGAAGAGGGTATTGTGCTACCTGTGCAGTACGTCGGGCATGGGGCTAGTGCTTGGAGGGCGGAGTCCAGTGGTCCTTACCGGCCACGCGGACGCTTCTTGGGCTGACGACCAGGCTACGCAGCGGTCGTCACAGGGTTACACCTTCAGCCTTGGTTCCGGCTCTGTCTCGTGGCGGTCTACTCGCTCGTCTTCGGTTCTCGGCTCCAGTTGTGAGGCTGAGATCTACGCCGGGGCCATGGCTGCACAGGAGCTTCGCTGGCTCACCTACCTGCTGACTGACCTTGGAGAGCCGCCTCGTTCTCCTCCAGTGCTGTACGTAGACAACAAGGCCATGCTGGCCTTGTGTCGAGAGCAGCGCTTGGAGCACAGAACGAAGCACATTGCTCTCTGCTACTTCCTTGCTCGTGAGCTGCAGCAGCGTGGTCAGTTGCGACTTGCGTACGTGGCCTCTTAGGCCAACACTGCTGATGTGTTCACCAAGGCACTTGCGCCTTGTGACCATCAGCGGTTTTGCACCCAGCTGGGTCTTGTGCCTGTCTTGCCTCACTTGCTCTCCTCTTGACTTCAGTTGTACTGTGACATATATATATATACCTGCTCTTGCTTGTATAGTTTTATATATATGTCTGTACTCCTGCATGTGAACTGGCCTCTGGCCCTGCTCTTGTGCTCGGACTGTGTGGTGACTTTGTGATCCACCCTGAGCTTGCTTTGCTTTGCTTGACTGGTCTTGTGACCCCTTGTTCTCCCCCACTTTGCCTATGGGGGTGTGTCAAACATTATATATGTTATGCTTGTGTAGGCTACAGTGGGTTAGCCTATAGGGGGTACACAATTCTAGGGTTTCCTACTTGTACTCATTTCACTGCTAGTTCATTCATTCCTGTTCGCTTATTCTCACAATCGTCTACGTAGACGACCTACTCTACATCGGCTCCACTGACGACATCACCACCTGGTTCGAAGGGGAGCTACAGAGGGACCTCACACTCACGGTCTCCTCTACCGTCACACAGTACCTCGGCTTAAACATTCTGGAAGAAGAAGGCGCGATCTACCTCAACGCCGCTAAGTACGCCGACACCATCGCCAAACGCTTCGCGCTCACACCTACCACCATCTCTATGCCCTACCGCTACGCGACAGGAAACCACAAGGAAGTATCCTCTCTACTCAAATCCGCCGGGATGCGCGACTACCAGAGAAAGCTGGGCTGCCTTCTCTTCGCAGCCGTCACCTGCCGCCCAGATCTATCCTACTCCGCAAGCCAGCTCACCACCTACCTCAAGAAGCCTGAAGCAGAACACCTGGCGGAGCTCGACCGCGCTCTCCACTACTTCGTCAGTACCTCAACGATCGGCCTAACCTACTACAAGAACACAACCACACCGACTAAATTAATCGGCTACGTCGACGCTGATCACGCTGGCGACTCAGACAATAGGCGCTCCCGCACTGGCTACATCTACCGCCTCGAACCTATCGGACCGATCTCCTAGCAATCGAGTAAGCAGGAATTAATTGCTCTCTCGTCAGCTGAAGCAGAATATATTGCACTCTGCTCAGCCACCAAGGAAGGACTCTATCTTCGCGAGCTGCTGGAAGAAGCGAAGTTAGCCGAGTTACCCAACTTCACTCTGTTCTGCGACAACCAATCTGCAATTCGCATCGCCAACAAAAATGGATTCGCGAACAGAACGAAGCATATCGCTCTGCGATATTTCTTCGTAAAAGACGAGATTGAGAAGGGGAGACTTGAACTATCCTACTGTCCCACGTCCGAGATGGCAGCTGACTACTTGACCAAGAAGCTCGGAAAACAGAAGTTCGAGTACTGCATGCTGCTGACTGGACAAAGCCACGTCACCAGCAGCGACACTCCAGAAAGCGAAGGGGAGTGTTGGGAACAAACAATCTTAAGCGCCTCTGTCGTGTCGAAACACCAAGGCACAAGCAAAGCAGAGCATATCGAGGCACCAGCGAGTCAACCCTCAGAGGTTGAAGTAACCGCTGGAGGTTACGCGAAAGTCAAAGGTCAGCGACCTTTGACTTGACAAATGCAGCGCGACAGCAAGGACACACAACTGACTCGACATTGAGCAGTTGCCCAAGTCGCACTGTATCGAACCGCAACAGTAAAGCAGTTTAATTATATCTCTTCGTATTCTTTGTACTCTTATATAAACCTTTGTACGGTACTTGCTTGTTTTAGACAACTTACTTTGCCCTCACATACCAGCGCAAGGTGGTTCAAGGACTTCATTTAAACGCTTCCGCTACTACATCTCTACTCAGAGTTAAACCCTACCAAAGATCCTAAGGGGCACTCAGCCCAACAATCCAGACAGAAGGCGCTAATGAACCACGACCACACGACATGTGCATGCCAGCATTTCAGCTTGCGTGACCAGAACATCAATGTACGGTACCTCAACTGACAGGCAGTGAGCAATCAAGCACCCATAGACAGCAGAACCCCATCGCTACACAACACTAGGCTTCCTGCTCCTTCGAGCGCCGACCTGCTGTCCTTGTTGCAGCATCTTGGCCTTGAGGGGGTTCTGGGTGCGCAGCTCTAGAGGCAGGAAGTCCAGGTCAGTCACCACTGTCGTGTACTCCACCCACTCCCCTCCTCCTCTCACACACGCTCCCGCTTTCGTATCCTGCTTCTCCCATCCTTGCTCAACCCCACACATGCCTCTGCTTTCTGCTGCCCCACGCTCACCAGCCTCTCCTCCTCCCTGCTCTGAACCCCTTCCATCCTTGAGAATCGGTCTGGCAATCTCCTCATGTTCCGCTCCCGCATCATCCCCAACTTGCGCCAACCCACCCTGCTCCCCTCCCCTTAACCCAACCTCCAGTATTCCTCTCACCAGCCTCTCGCACTCTTCCCCATCCCTCCGCTCCACCTGCACCGCCCCATACCGCTCCACAAACCACTCCCAGAACCCTCCCTCCTGCAGCAGCTCCTCAGAGGCAGTAGCGAGCACGAGCCTTTTCCTGGAAGCCATGGCCACACGTGCAGCCGCCAGCAGCAGCTGCGCTGAGATCCCTTCGTGCTGCCGCTGCACGCGCAGCATGCAGGGCGCATGCAGGTCGCAGGGGTCTGCACCACCCAGGTACACCAGCCAGTGTGCACCGAAGCGCAGCCCGCACGTCATGCGGCAGGAGCGGGCGAGCAGGTCCGCGTAGACCACGCAGCGCAGGCGCACTGCAGGGCTGCTGCTGCTGAGCAGAGACGCGAGCATGGACAGCAGGGAGGTGCGCGCATGCGGTGGGGCGAGGGGCAGGGAGGAGGAAGACGGCGGATGATGCTTGCAGCAAGTGCTGGGGGATGTGGTGTTCGTGCCGTTGCTCACTCCTTCTCCGTCATCATCATGCCACTCTCTGCCCATGTCCTCCGCTCCTCTGCTTCGACCTCCGCTTTGGTTCCTATCTTCCCCACCATTGCCCTTCTCCTCTCCACCAGCAACCTTCTCCTCAGTACAATCCACAGCCACACTCCAGCCGCGTTCCCCCATCGCAGCTGGAGCAGCACTGCCATCCCTCTGCCGCTGCACCCCCCGCCCTGAAGCGCCCAACCACTCCGCTGCTACCTCCACGTCCCCCTCCGTTACGGGCAGCCGGAACTTTTCGCTGAAGGAAGCCTCCCTGGCAGTGTGGAGGGCGTGTGGCACAGAGCAGGGAGGCTGGTGGGGACAGCTAGACGCGAGCAGGCAGGGGTGTGAGCAGCGAGACGCAGCCATCCGGTCCAGCCTTCCACACTCCACCGTCCCAGGTTCCCCCGTAGTCTCGCTTGCCTGCGGCGCATGAGCTTCTGCAGGCAGGACCAGACTCTGCTGCTGCTGCTGCTGCGGCGGCGGCGGCGCTGGTGCTGGCGGCTCGTGTGTTTGGGCCGCGACATCCGCGTTGAGCTGCGCTGCTGCTGCCGACTCGACCGGCGGCGCGCGCTGGTCAGCGGAAGCGACTAGGCCTGTTGCTGCTGCTGATCCCGTTGGTGGCCGTAAACAGAGAGCGTCGCAACCAGAGCCAGAGGGGTTCAAGCGAGGTAAATCTTGTGAAGAAATAGGGTCAAGGTCTGGATTTGTCACAACGGACAGTCTCGGAGTTGCACGGAAAAGAGTCGGCGACTGAAACAATGCGGTGGATTCTTGGCGGAAAGCAGACAGCGCGGTCGTTGCTGCAACGTCGGGACCATTCCCGAGGACTTCTAGCCGTGCGACGCCCATGGTCGCTGCTGCAGCGAGCTCTTCCAGCGAGAGCAGCAGCGGCAGGCCCTTGACCTTGTTCTGCAGCGCGAATCCCGGCAGGCCTCCCGCCATGGTGCCGACTATGCCGTGCTCTAGTCGAATCTGCTCTGCCGCCGCCACGTCCCACACGTACCCGCCCGACGGAAACGCGTGAACCGTCACAGGACGTGTAGCGGCGACAGCGGGGAAGGAAGGTGGCTCGAACCCTCGCCACTGTGCTCCTTGAGACCCGCTCTCAACCTCAGTCGCTTTCGTCTCGCCATCGCTCATTTCTCCCGATATTCCCATCTCGTTTACTGCTAGAGATGACCTACGCTGGAGCCCACACTCAGAGTCGACTTGGCCAATCCTCGTGAGTGCCAGATAGATTTAGGAATGATGGGAGAGAAGAAGGCCAGGGAAACAGAGCGACAGTCCAGGCAATGGTGTAGCAGTGGGATTTATCGCACCATACCTGGACTGACTTCGGAAATCCCGCCTCACCACATCCTAACGAAACTGCTACTCGACGAACACAAGACTCTTTGAGCTTGCAAGAGGAATCCCAGTGGGGCGAAGACACATTCGCGATGCTGCCAACCTTTCGCCGACTTCTGTTCCCACAGCTCCACTTATCCCCATTCCCATTCTCATCATTCCTCTCAGAAAGATGCGAACACAAATGGATATCTCCATATAGTAACATTCCTTCGTGTATCCATTTTATGTCCTCTGTACACCTCACAGACGGTGCCTACAATATCGCGCTTCTGAGACAGATTCGGGAGAGGTCCGCTGCCTCGGAACAAGAGCCAACGGACGAGGTGCGGTTGTAGGTGAGGCCACTGCCCTTCCCGCCAACCGCGCCGAAGCACCCCAACCAACCAATCAACCATCCAATCAACCAGATTCATGAGGTGCGTGCCATGTGATGTGACAACTCCAAGGGGTCTACAGTATTGCACTGTAGTAGTGGACCTTGAACTTGCCGGGCCTTTCCTAGGTTCGGTTGGATGTTGCCTAGGTTCATTTGTGTGACTCCAGCAAAGCCAGGCGTCACCAACCACACCACAACTTCATCTCGAAGGATTGCTTGCTTTCTCACTACTGTAGAAGGCGAAACTATGCGTCAGTCCTGAGCGAGCGTTGTTGAGCCACGCTGATTGGCGTAGCATTATCGTGTTATTTATTCCAGGCGATGTATTCTATTACTTATTTGACCAGTCTCGCTTCCCTTTCCAGGATACTACCTCAGACTCTTTCAAATAGAAGTCACACATCCACGATCTCCTAGGCTGCTCATGTCGATTTACGCGTCCCCGTACGACGCGGCAGACGATGGCGGCATGCCGGACGAGCTTCCTCGAACCATCAGCCTCGAGCGGTCCTTCGCCGCCCTTTACGGCTTGCAGAACAGCCAGCAGCAGCAGCAACAGCAACAGCAGCAGCAGAGGAAGTTTCGCGGATGGAGCAAGATGGGTTCATTCTTTGGTTCGTCCAATTCCAATGCATCCTCTGAAGCCTCGCGGCGGGGCTCCGCTGCAGGTTCGTCAGCGGAGGTTCGGAAAGCGAATGCGGCCCCGTCTCTGCTACGAACAGTATCGCTACCCAGTCGCGCCGCTGCGCTGAAAGCACAGCAGCAGCAGCAGCAGCAGCAGCAGCAGCAGCAGCAGCAGCAGCAGCAACAGCAGCAGCAGCAGCAGCAGACGCAAAGGGCGGTGCGATCTGCGGAGGAGGAGGAGAGAGAGAGACAGCGACAGATTGAAATGTTTGGCACCGTTCTCGCTGACGACGTGCCGCTCCCCCCGCCGGTACGCACCATTCCTTACCACTCATCCCCACGCCGTTACCCACGCTACTTCTGCGGCGGGCCGTTGTCTGTGAAACGCCGCCACGCCCTATTGAGATTGCGGCGCGTGTGTGGACGATCCAAGCTACCACCGCTCGCGCTGCCTGGGAGCACCGCTGCTTCAACGCCCCTTCTCGTTTGCCCAACCTAACCCTCCCACCTTTGCCCTCCCTCTTTCCCGCTCCCGTAACTCCTCCCCACCATCCCCCGCCTACCCTTGCAGGGATTCGAATACGACTCCGATTTCTCCCCCGACCGTCCTAACTTTCCTCCCCCCGCCGTAGCAGCGCCGCCGTCGCCGCCAGAAGCGGCGGAGGGTCAGGAGTACGGAGGGAGACCGGGCGCGGATTACGAGGGCACCATTAGCGAATGGGAGGGCGGCAGTAGCGACTGGGAAGGCGGTCGTTCTGCGGCGAATGGAACAGCCGCAGGAGGGGGGGCTGGGGATCCGGCGGAGTATCGCCCGCGGGCAGCGCGCGAGTTTAGGCGCACGACGTCGTCGCCCGTGCCTAAGTGCCCGCCTGCTTCCGCGCCTGTGGGCGCGGGGGGCGCAAGAGACCGGCGCCTGGCGGGGGACTGTGTGGGGGCGACCTTCGACGGGCCCTTCAGCGCCGAGGCCGCCGGGGGCGGAGCGAGCATGGGCGGCGGCGGCAGCCGCAGCGGCGGAACTGCGGGTGGCGGCAGGGCGGACGACGAAGTGCGCGCTGGCGGTGGGGGCGCAGGGATCGGGGGGGACGCTGCGCCTGCGGGTCGCGTCACGAGCGGAACCGCAGGGGCCATGGGGACTCCGTCCCGCGCGTCTGGGCCGTTTGTTGCGCCTCCCGCCGCCAGCAGCAAGCCGCCCGTGAGAGGCGGGTTTGGGCGCAGCACGAGTGTCACGCAGACGCAGGGGAACGCCGCGGAGGCCGGCGCTCCTGCGGGCGTCGCTGGCAGCGGCGGGGGTGGCGCGGGGGGAGGGCGCAGGGGGTTCCGGCGCGCCATGTCGATGGAACTGCGGCCGCGCGCGAGAGCCAACAGGGCGCCGCTCGCCCTTAACCCGCTCGACGCCTCCCCGCCCGCAAGCAGCGCCGCCAGCGCATTCCCCCGCCCCCCCGTCCCATGGGCAGCAGCGGACAACCCTTGCTCCCCCTCCGCCCCCCTCCCTGCCCCCCAAAAGCAGCCGCCCCCGTCCGTCCCCGCGTCGTCCTCCCCCTTTGGCCGTCCTCCCCCCAGCAGCAACCACAGCGCCCGCGGGTGGGCGGCGTGGACGCAGGCAGATGAAGCCTCCCCCAGAGCGGCCTTCGCGCCGCCCTTCTTGCGCTCCTCGTCCGTCGGAGGCCCCTCCCCCTCCGCCCTGCGCAACCGAGAGCTGCCCCCGCCCGCCCCCCCCTACAGCGCGCACCCAAACCCACATGCTGGGATAGGCGCGTGGGCAGGGGCAGGCGGAGGGGCGGGCGGAGGGGGAATGGGCGCGGCGGCGGGCGGCGGGTACGGGTGGGCGTCCCCGGGGTCGCAGCGGTCGTTAAGTCCCGAACGCGCGGACAGCCAGGTGAGCCGCACAGGGCTTGAGGGTGCGGCGGGTGGGCAGGTGGGCGAGGCAAAGTGTGAGAGAGAGGCAGGCGGAGCAAAGCGCGAGAGAGAGGCAGGCGGAGCAAAGCGCGAGAGAGAGGCAGGCGGAGCAAAGCGCGAGAGAGAGGCAGGCGGAGCAAAGCGCGAGAGAGAGGCAGGCGGAGCAAAGCGCGAGAGAGAGGCAGGCGGAGCAAAGCGCGAGAGAGAGGCAGGCGGAGCAAAGCGCGAGAGAGAGGCAGGCGGAGCAAAGCGCGAGAGAGAGGCAGGCGGAGCAAAGCACAAGGGAGGGGTGCGGCAGCGTGGCGAGTTGGCCTCATGGCATGCCCATGCGCTCCTGCCGCCTTTTGAGTCTCTTTCGTCTTCCCGTTTTCAACCCTCCCTGATTCTCCTCCCCTTCCCCACCCGCCCTGTCCCTTGCAGCCGGGGCCGCTGGGTCTGGTGCAGGAGAGCAGCGAGGAGGGCGAAGGGTCGCGCATGAGGGGAGGCACGGGGGAGAGGCGGGGCGGCGGGGGAAGGGGTCTTAGGGAGCGGAGTGGAGAGAGGCACGGGGGAGCGAGTAGGATGGGCGGGCGGGCGAGGGAAGGCAGGGCGAGAGGGCGAGATGAGGAGAGTGAGAGCAAGAGTGCAAGTGAGAGTGGGAGCGAAAGTGGGAGCGAGAGTGGGAGTGGGAGTGAGAGGGGCAGTGGAAGTGGTTCAGGAAGCGAGAGTGAAGACGGGGGGGGACGGAGGGGCCAGCACCAGCGAGCAGGTGCGGACGGCAGGGCGCTTGGGGAGGGGCGGGGGGGAGCGGGGGGGAGGGGGAGGTGGGAGGGGCGGGGGAGGGTTCTGCAGGGCGGGATGGGCAGGGGGGGCGTGGGTAGGGACGGACTGGCACGGGGGGCTGGGGGGTTGATGGGGGCAGCAGGGGGGCCAGGGTGGGAGGGGGCGGGCGAGGAGGCGGGGGAGGAGAGTCCCCGCGAGGTGACTGTGCGGTGTGTGGCGCCGTCCATGCACTCGCTGCTGCGCCTCGCCTCCCACTCGCGCCACCGCAGCCTCGACGCCTCCCCCTCCTCCGCCTCCCCCTCCGGCTCCCCCGTGCCCCTCGCCCGCCCCGTCTCCCGCCCCGCCCCCCCTGCCTCCGCCCGCAGCCCTGCCCGCCTGGGCGCGTGGGGAGCAGGGGGGGGCGCAGGGCGCGTGGGGGGGTCGCCTGGGAGAGAGGGGAGTGGCGGAGGGGGCGAGGAGGAGGGGGGCGTGATGCTGCTGCGGGCGAGCACTCTGCACGAGAGCAGTGCTAGTAGCAGCAGGCGCGGTGGCAGCAGCAGCGCTTGGCATGCAGAGAGGCAGGCAGAGGCAGGAGGGCAGTGCAGTGGGGCGGGCGTGGGGGGTGTGGTGCAGATGGGTGGGAGGGACGCGAGGAGGGGGTTGGTGCGGTCGGCCAGTGGGGTGGAGGCGAGGCACTGCCGCAACCGTAGTGCGGGCGGCGGCATGAGCATCGGCGCCACCGGCAGCGTTGGCGTCGCTGCTGCCTCCGCCCTCGGCCCTTTCGACAACTCCCACCCCCCAAGCGCACCACCACATGCAGCAGGGCCGGCACGCGCGGATGCTCACAACCCTCGAAGGGGTCTGGTTCGGTCGGCCAGTGGAGTGGAGGCGAGGCACCGGCGGGAGAGGAGTGGAGGCGGCAGCAGCAGCGGCAGTGGAGGGGGTGCAGGCATGGGGTGGCTGGCAGGGGGGATGGGGGCGGCAGAGCAGGGGGAGCAGACAGAGGAAGGGCGGAGTGAGGGCGGTAGAGCGTTTACACGGTCGAGCAGCGGCGTGGAGGCGCGGCACAGGAGGCAGCGCAGCAGCGGCGCTGGCAGCACGGGCGGTGCGGGCGGCATTCTCAGCTCGCTGCTGTCGCGCCCGGGTGCAGCGGATGGGGGCACGGCGGCCGACAGGGATGCAGGCGAGGGCAAGGCGAGCGGCAAGGGGGGGGGCTTTGGGTTGGTGCGCATGGCAACGATGGAGAAGCGGCGCGGCAAAGGCCGCAGCAACTCCGTGGTCGATGACAGGCTGGCTGCCAGCCCCTTCCAGGACCTCTCCTGGGATTAGCGCCCATTGCCCGGCCTGGTTCTGAACCGTTATATTTATGTTGTGGGGTAGAAACAAGCTGTAATGTAGTGATGACTGATGAGTGCGTTCAAAAGAGGGGTGGAGACAGGATTTAGGGAAAGGGATCATGCACAGTGAACTGGATGCAGTAGATTTGATACCTTGTTGATCCCTTCATTCATAGGCGGTGGCTGCCAGTAGTGTTACCGTAACATATTCATGACTGGATGGGAGAAGTTGGGAGTTCCAGCTCCTTCAGTACCGTAATCCCTTGAATAGCAGAGAGACCCTGCCACCACACAACCAAGAAATACACTAACTAATAATGAAGAACGCATTGTGAAAGCTTGTGTTACGGGTGCAATGAATCGAAGTAGCGAGAATTGCACTAAGGTGTCAAACGAGTACAAAATGTGAGCCAAGGCATGAGCGAACACTTATACGCGAAACATGCAAACGGTAACGCGGTGCGTGCGAGCTAGCTAGTGCTACGCTGGAGCGACACTTGGGCTAGTCCCGAAGCATAGGCTGACACGGCCATGCCAGCAGTGCGAGGTTTGGTGAAACAGTGCGCGCGAAGTCGGCGAAGCCCCGTTAGCAGTAACGGGCGAACAACGGTTGTTGCTGTACGCGATGTAGTCGGGCTCCGTAAGGAATGCCGAGAAAATTCCTTGCACTACCCCCCCCCCCCCCCCCTCAAGAAGCCCCCTCCGCTACGCGAGTGCGTATATATCGCGGAATCCCCGGCTCCTCAGGTACACTTGCAGGGCAGGGTGGTTTTCGATGTTGGCCAGGGGCACCCAGCTGTCCTCAGTTGTCGTGCGATCCTTCCAGCGAACGAGGAATTCAATCCTCTTGAGTCCCGTGGGGTGTCGAATCCGATGGCTCAAGATTTTTTCGGGCTCGATGATCGGCTCCGATGCAGGGCGAGACATGGATGGCGGGCGGTGGCGAGGCAGTTGGCTTGTGGTTGGGATGTAGGGGCGAAGCAAGCTGACATGGAACGAAGGGCTGATGTACCAGTCGGTCGGTAACAGTAGGTGCGCGGTTACTGGCGTGATCATGTGGCTGATTTGGAATGGGCCACAGTAGCGCGGTCGAAGTTTTGGTACGTCGCGCAGTCGCAGATTTTGCGTGTCGAGCAGTACGTAATCCCCAAACTGGTATGTGACTGGGCGGCGGTGGCGGTCAGCGTTGCGCTTAGCGATGGCGTTTGTTTTTTTAATTGCTTCTGCGGCTCTGGTGCGGGCAGCATGCAGAATTTCGGCCAATTGCTGTGCTCGTGGTGTTGGGTTGTCCGGACTCGGCGTCATGGGCACTGTAGGATTTTGCCCGTAGTTCAGGTAGAAGGGGGACTGCTGCGTCGTCGCTGGCGTGGCATTATTGTACGCGAACTCGATCAGCGGCAGCTGGTGCTCCCAAGTCGTCGGGTCGTCGCACGTGGCACGAATCAACTGCTCCATCGTCTGATTCGTCCGCTCCGTTTGACCGTCGGTCTCGGGGTGGTACGACGAACTGAACTGCAGCCTGGTTCCGAACTGCTCCCAGAACTTCTTCCAGAAGTTGCTGGTGAACTTCGTGTCTGTGTCGCTGATAATCGCTGCTGGTATCCCGTGCAGGCGAACAACGGCTGCGATGAATGAGAAAAGTTGAACGAGGATGAATGACTAAGTGAAAGTTGGGTACAAATGCAAACCCTAGAAAGCTGTACCCCATATGTGCTACCCCACTATAGCCTACAATAGCTATGTCATATATATCTGACACACCCCCATAGGCAAAGTGGGGGAGAACAAGGGGTCACAAGACCAGTCAAGCAAAGCAAAGCAAAGCAAGCTCAGGGTGGATCACAAAGTCACAACACAGTCCGAGCACAAGGTCAAGGCAACAAGGCCAGTTCACATGCAGGAGTGCACACATATATATATATATAACACTAAACAAGCAAGAGCAGGTATATATATATATATATGCAAGAGTGTCAAACAGTATATATGTTATGCTTGTGTAGGCTACAGTGGGTTAGCCTATAGGGGGTACACAATTCTAGGGTTTCCCACTTGTACTCATTTCACTGCTAGTTCATTCATCCCTGTTCGCTTATTCTCACATGGAATCAGAGCAGGTCCCTTCCTAGGGCCTGTTCCTAGGGCCCACCGAAGCGCGCCCCGAGGCGCGCATTTTTTTTAGCGACCCTCCGAGTCGCCCCTCCCGTCGTGCTCCCGCTTAGGCCCCTCGTCGGCCCCCCGCTTAGGCCCCTCGTCGGCCCCCCGCTTAGGCCCCTCGTCGGCCCCCCGCTTAGGCCCCTCGTCGGCCCCGCTTAGGCCCCTCGTCGGCCCCGCTTAGGCCCCTCGTCGGCCCAGCTTAGGCCCCTCGTCGGCCCCTGCTTAGGCCCCTCGTCGGCCCCGCGTACCCCTCGTCGGCCCCGCGTAGGCCCCGCGTACCCCTCGTCGGCCCCGCGTACCCCTCGTCGGCCCCGCGTAGGCCCCGCGTACCCCTCGTCGGCCCCACGTAGGCCCCGCGTAGGCCCCGCGTACCCCTCGTCGGCCCCGCGTAGGCCCCGCGTACCCCTCGTCGGCCCCGCGTACACCTCGTCGGCCCCGCGTACACCTCGTCGGCCCCGCGTACACCTCGTCGGCCCCGCGTACACCTCGTCTGCCCCGCGTACACCTCGTCGGCCCCGCGTAGGCCCCGCCCAGGCCCCGCCTCGGCCCCGTGTCGGCCCCGCGTAGGCTCCGTCGGCCCCGCTTAGGCCCCTCTTCGGCCCCGCGTCGGCCCCACCTACGCCCTGTCGGCCCCGCGCTGGCCCCGCTTAGGCCCGCCACCGGCCCCTGCTACAGCCCGCCGCGTCGGCCCCGCCTACAGCCCGCCGGCCCGCCTAGGCCCCACTTCGGCCCCTCGTCGGCCCCTGCTACAGCCCGCCACCGGCCCTGCTACAGCCGCCACCGGCCCCTACTACAGCCCGCCGCCGGCCCTGCTACAGCCCGCCACCGGCCCTGCTACAGCCGCCACCGGCCCCTGCTACAGCCCGCCACTGGCCCTGCTACAGCCCGCCACCGGCCCTGCTACAACCGCCACCGGCCCCTGCTACAGCCCGCCGCCGGCCCTCCTCCTCCTTCATCTCCCACTGCAGCAGCCGAGCCGCCCCACCGCCGAGCCGCCCTGCACCCGAGCCGCCCAGCAGCCGAGCCGCCCTGCCGCCGAGCCGCCGGGTCGCTGAGCTGCTGAGCTGCAGTTGCTGCCGAGCCGCCCTGCCGCCGAGCCGCCGAGTCACCGAGCTGCTGAGCTGCAGTTGCTGCCGAGCCGCCTTGCCGCCGAGCCGCCCGAGTCGCCTGAGCCGCCGAGCCGCCAAGCTGCCGAGCCGCTGAGTCGCCGAGCCTACTCTTCCCACCACTGGTGAGCTCTTGCCCTGCTAGCACGCTGCGCGTCGCCTGCTTGCCTGCCTGCCTGCCTTTTGGCTTGCCTGGCTGCCTGCCTCCCTGCTGCTAGTCCTGCTCCTGCTTCTACTTGCGGAGCCAAATGCAGCCCCAGCGACGCCGGCGTGAGTCCCTCACGCCCCAGCAGCTGCGTGAGTGGTACGCTGGTTGGGGCTGTAGGGGTGGCGACGCTACTCCTACTACCACTCCTGCTGCTTCTACTCGTGGTGGCGGCCAGATGCAGCTCCCGCGGCCCTCTCGCGTGTCTCTCACGCCTCGCCAGCTTCGTGAGTGGTACGCTCAGAGTGGAGGGTCTCTCAGTGCTGTTCGCTGCTCTTACGTGATTCTCACTGGTACTCGGACTGGTCAGCCTTGTGGGACACGTAGTCATACACCGTCCCGCTGCTTCGCCCGTCTGAGCGACGCCTGGCGTACCGTGTTTGGCGACGAGGCTGAGCTTCCCGACTGGGTGGAGTTGCTTAGGCAGAGGGTAGATATATATGCTCTTGACTATGATGCTATTCTCACTGCCATGTATGCATTGCCTACTAGTGCTGACCGTGCCGGTCACCTGTGCGTCCCGCCTGACCCAGGTATAGGACCTGCTGCTCTAGCTACTGGTGAGGCTGCTGCTCTTGGTGCTAGTGAGTCTCCTGCTCCAGGTACAGGTGCGGCTGCTGCTCTAGGTGCTAGTGAGTCTGCTTCCTCAGGTGCGGGTGAGGCTGCGCTCTCAGGTACCGCGTTGGCTTCGGCCTCCCTCACCTTTACACTTGACTTTGGGGCTTCTCGCTCCTTCTTTCGGGACCGCACCACACTCACGCCGCTTGGTCGGCCGGTTGCTGTCTCCCTGGCTGACCCCTCTGGGGGTCCTGTCCTCGCTCACTTCTCCACTGTCCTCCCGTGTCCGGCTGCCCCCTCGGGCACCCTGTCTGGCCTGTACCTCCCCTCGTTCTCGACGAACTTGGTGAGTGGTGCAGACCTACAGGATGCGGGGGTTCACCAGTTCACTCCTGCGAGTCAGCGGGTGACCCACTGCACGGACGCACGCACAGGCCGGCACCTGGCCACGTTCTCGCGTCGGCCGGGGTCGAGCCTCTACACCCTGACCACTGAGTCTCCTCCTGTCCCCGCGTCCGGTCAGGTAGCAGCGTCGGGTCAGGTGTTTGCTGCTGCGTCCAGGTCTGGTCCTGAGTCTGCCCCCTGTTCGTGTCGCCTCCTGTCTCACGAGACTCTTCTGTGGCACCACCGTCTAGGCCACCCCTCCTTGCCCCGTCTTCGGGGCATGGCTTCCCGTGTCCTTGTCTCTGGTCTTCCCCAGTCTCTCCCTCCCCTTCCTTCGGGACCAGGACCTTCCTGTGTCCCCTGTGTCGAGGGGCGCCTCAGGGCTGCTCCTCACTCCTCCCAGTTTCCCCCGACAGAGGCTCCTCTGCAGACGCTTCACATGGACGTGTGGGGCCCGGCCCCCGTCCGTGGGCAGGGTCACGAGCGCTACTTCCTGTTGGTGGTTGACGACTACTCGCGTTACACCTCAGTCTTCCCCTTGCGCAGCAAGGGTGCTGTCACTGAGGTGCTGATCGACTGGAT